GATCAAGATTTAGGTAAAAAAATGGCTGCGCGTTTAGAAAAACGATGGGATATTTGGGAACAGCCCTTATTATTAATTTCTTTTCTTCTCCACCCTGAATATCGGAATAATCTTTTTATTCAAAGTAATCAATCAATTTCTTTTGCTCAATTGAGTGAATGGATGATTTACTATTTCTGTGCTTGGTTTAAACGATTACCTACCTCACTATTGGGAGAGTTGCAGAGTTATCGAAAACAAGATTTTCCATTTAATAATATGTCATTAAAACAATTTCGTAATGGTGTACTTGGGTTTTGGGATTTTACATCTGCTTATGCACCAGATTTAAGTGCATTTTCTACTAAAATATATGCTATTTGTATTAATACTGCCTCGGTTGAAAGACTTTTTTCTTCCATGGGCTTTTTTCATACGAATAAAAGAAACCGCTTGGGTGTATGAAATTTACCTTAAATTTTTATTTATTGACTTTTTTTTAGCATATTTAATCATTTGGCTTTCTTAACTGTTATAACTTATAATGTTATTACAGTCAGAAAAAGTTCTTGCTATGAGTCAAATAAAGGGAGAATTTCAACGGTAAAAACGACTGGAAAATATTATGAGTGCAAATAAAAAACTCAAAGATACAAACATTGCAATTCCAGTTGTTTAAGAACAGCAAGATGACGACCAATTTAATGTATCCGATAATGATGATGATTTTTTAAATCAATCTTCTGAAGATTCGGAACAAGATATTGAATCACCTTGTGAATGGAGAAATTTAATTATTGAATGTATTGAAATGGTAGAAGATGAGGAATCAGAAATTCTAAATCAGGAGGATGAAGAAAATGGTGAGATAGCACCACTTATTGGTCGCACTATGGATTTAGACGAGATTTTACAAAAGAAACATCCACTTATCAGTAAAAGAGCCAAGTGGAAGTTAGATGATATTTTTGATTTTGAAAAAATTCAGCTTCCTACATATTTGACATTATTACGTAATTTTTTTTTCAATTTTTAATCTTTTTTTTAATTTAATTATTTAATTATTTAATTAATTTGTAGATGAAACTGAATAAAATCAATAAATTGATTACAATTGCTCGGGAAAATATCCAATGAAATAATTTGTATTTACTGTAAATAGGCAGATTTAATGTTGATCAACTGCGTACTAGTAATATTTTTTTAAATAAAATTGCGAATTATTTGTAAAGAATTAATAAAATTTACTTTTTAAATCATTAAATTTAAATAAAATTAAATAAAAATCAATTGGACATTTTCTTATATGTCCAAAAAAATTATTGGACATTGTGGACATATATCCAATTGGATATTCAATTGGATATCCAAATGCTCAATTGGACAAATGGTCCAACACTG